CCATCCAAGTTGCTGCAAAGTTCATATGTTTGTCTTTCTTTATGGCTGCATAATAGTTCATCGCGTATATGTACCACATTTTTTATCTAGTCCAGTTCTGATGGGCAGCACGTTGATTCCATGTTTTTGCTATTGTGAGTAATGCTGCAACAAACATGTGCATGCAGGTATCTTTTTTGCAAAATGATTTGAGTTCCTCTGGGTTTATTCCCAATAGGGGGATTACTGGGTCATATGGAAGGTCATTTTCTTTTCTTTTCTTTTCTTTTTTGAGTTGGAGTCTCACTCTGTCGCCCAGACTGGAGTGCAGTGGCCGCTCCCGGCCACTGCAGCCTCGACCTGCTGGGCTCCGGTGATCCTTCCGCCTCAGCCTTTCAAGTAGCCGGAATTACAGGCATGCGCTACCACACCCGGCTGATTTTTTTATTTATTGTAGAGATGAGGTTTCGCTGCCCAGGTGGGTCTCAAACCCGCAGGCTCAGGCAATCCACTCACCTCAGCCTCCCAAAGGCACGGGATTACAGGCTGAGCCACCGAACCCGGCGGAAGGTCATTTTCTAGTTCTTTCAGAAATTGCCACCCTGTCTTCCAAAGAGGTTGCACTAGTTTGCATTCCCAGCAGGTATAGAAGCATTCCTTTTCCTCTGCATTCTTGCCAGCATCTGTTGTTGTTTGCTTTATTGAAATTGTTTCTTTACTTATGGTTTAATTAAATTAATTCATTTATTCATTCAAAAAACTGAGTCCTTGGGATGTGCCAAACCCTGTGATATTATAAGCAAATATAACTAAGAACACAGTTAACTGCCAGCAAGGCACTTAAGTTAGTCAGAGAGGTAGACATAAACAGAGACTTAGAAAACAGTGTGGCATACAAAATGATAGATACACAGAGTTATAGAAAGATAAGAAGGAAGACTCAACTTAGCTTGAAATAAGAAGGAAAGAAGAGGAAAGAAAAAGACCAGGAAAGGATTCCGGACATAGTGGTACCTGAACAAAATATTAACAAGCCTAGCTTCTTTTCCCATACGTGCCACAGACTATGAATAATGTATTTTTTTCATTCCTCTTCTAGTCAAATCCTAAAGGCTGAGAATCCTAGAGACAAATACTAGAAATAACTGGGGTAGACAGCAGGGCTTGCGTATTTCTTTTCTTTCTTTCCTTCTTTTTTTTTTTTTTTTTTGAGTTGGAGTCTTACTCCTTCACCCAGGCTGGAGTGCAATGGTACGCATGTTCACGGTCACCCCAGCGTTGACCCTCTGGGCTCCAGTGATGCTTCTGCCTCAGCCTTCCGAGTAGCCAGAACTACAGATGTGCTATTTTTTATTTTATTGTAGAGACAGGTCTCACCAAGTTGCCCGGGCTGGTCTCGAACCCGCGGGCTCAGGCAATCTACTGCCTTTGGCCTCCCAAAGTACTGGGATTACAGGCTGAGCCACCAAGCCCGGCCTGGGCTTGCGTATTTCTACAGAAATGATGAGACATCCTGAAAAGCACAAGAGAGGACTTGGACTATCAAAACAGAGGTGTCACAATGTTAACACTTCTGCAATGTTTGCACATTATGGCTGTAGTGGGGATGTTTAGTTGTCAAGGCAAAGACATATTGGGGCATCAATAAATAAATAGCACAGACACAATATGGTGACATTTTGGTAAGATTTTGTTCTTCAGATTTCCCAGAACTAGAAAGTTCGGTAATCACTCACATATCTACAGTAGATATTACATTTAGAATCAGAAAGTCTGTGCTAGGAAAAATCCTCAAGATCATAGCTTAGAAATTTTTAATTCACAGAGGAGGAATCTGAGAGAAGACCTGCTTGCCTGAAATCATGCAGCTATTTACCAACAGAGATGAAACCCAAATGGTCTAGGTCATTTCTTTCCTTATTCATTAAAAAAACTGAATGATATTAAATGCCAGGCTCTGTGTTACATATAAGAGTACAAAATGTATACTCACTGATACTTCCCTACTCTCCTCCCGCCTAGTCCCCTGCCACAAATACTTTAGGTATGTCTTCAAAATATAATAAATCATAACCACAATGTCATTGCCCTCAAAGTAATACCCTAAGATTATTAAACATGCAGTTAATATTGAGATTATCTAATTGTTTCATAGATGAATTTTTATGATCCTTTGTATAAACAGACTCCAATAAAGTCCACATCTTATACATCAAAGGTCTCTTTTTTTACATTATTTGTTGAAACAAGTACATTATTAAGCAGCATTTTCCAGTCTGGATACTGCAGATTGCAACCTCAGTTTCAATTAACACGTTCCTCTAAACTTCTGATTTTTTTTTTTTTTTTTTGAGTTGGAGTCTCACTCTGTCGCCCAGACTGGAGTGCAGTGGCCGCTCCCGGCCACCGCAGCCTCGACCTGCTGGGCTCCGGCGATCCTTCCGCCTCAGCCTTCCAAGTAGCCGGAATTATAGGCATGCACTACCACGCCCGGCTGATTTTTTGATTTATTGTAGAGATGAGGTCTCACTGCCCAGGTGGGTCTCAAACCCGCGGGCTCAGGCAATCCACTCACCTCAGCCTCCCAAAGGTGCGGGATTACAGGCTGAGCCACCGAGCCCGGTTTAAACTTCTGATTTTTTTAACCCCCGTACACTAGTGCTTAGGTCTAGGGGCTTGATCAGACTCAGATTCAATTATTTTGACAAAAATACTTCAAAGGTGGTTTTGTGTACTTCTTGTTGTATTACTTCAGGAAGCTCATAATGAATGTCTGGTTGTTATTCTTTCCTGTGTTAAGATTAGCCAGCAGGTGTTGTCAAACTGACCCATGTGTTCTAAAATTCCAAGGGCGCTATTTTAGAGAGTGTGTTCAGACAAGGTCTTTCTGAGGAGATGACATAGTGACCTTTAGTGTCCTAACGAATGATAAAGAATCAGTCATGTGGAGTAAAGGAAGAATAGTAGGTGGAAGCCTTGAGGTGAGAAAGAGCTTGACATCTACCCCACGTCTCTTCTCAGAATCAGCAGAGCTTCTTCCATTCTCTACCACTCCCAGTAACTCTTCCAGCCTCCTAAAGGTGAAAGTGAAGAACCTTTTGCCCAGAGGTGCCTGGAACGGTGACAGGCAGTCTCAGGTACATAGCTTTGTTCTCCTGAAGTGCTGGACTATTTTGATTTAATCAGACCCACAGACCAAGGTGATTCTCTCGGTGATACAAACCAATTAACCTTTTTATTGGGCATGACAGCATGACAGAAATGTACTTCTTAGGCACAGTTTATTTGCTCACATCTCATACTATTTTTCTTTTCTGAAATGTCCACCAGACTACTTAAAAAAGGAGACGGTATCAAAACTTATTTCACAGAGTTGTTATGAGCATTAAATGAGGACTGTGAAAAAGTGCTTGCTTCACAGTACATAGGTGTTAGTTGATATGCAGATTTGTATAATCAATCATATCACTTCGTTTCCTTCAAATTGCATATTAAAAATTTTCATACCCTGAGTTCCAACTAGTATACACCCAGAAACTCAGTGATAATGCCCAGTATGCTATTTGCTAGATATTTTATTTTATTTTATTTTTTATTTTTATTTTTTTTGAGTTGGAGTCTCACTCTGTCGACCAGACTGGAGTGCACTGGCCGCTCCTGGCCACCACAGCCTCGACCTGCTGGGCTCCGGCGATCCTTCCGCCTCAGCCTTCCAAGTAGCCGGAATTACAGGCATGCGGTACCACGCCCGGCTAATTTTTTGGTTTATTGTAGAGATGAGGTCTCACCAAGTTTCCCAAGCGGGTCTCGAACCCGCGGGCTCAGGCAATTCATTCACCTCAGGCTCCCAAGGCACGGGATTACAGGCTGAGTCACCAAGCCATTGTAGAGAGGAGGACTCGCCAAGTTGCCCAGGCTGGTCTTGAACCTGTGGGCTCAGGCAATTCTCTCACCTCGGCCTCCCAAAGTGCTGGGATTACAGTCATGAACCACCTCGCCCGGCCTGGAAGCATTATTTTACATAAGAAGAAACAGGCCCAGAAAAGTTAGGTACTTGACACAAAGCCAATGAGTGTAATAGGAAGCCAGATTTCTATTAACTGCAGTGACTGTCACTTAGCTTCTACAAACAGGAAACTCCTTTCACCTAGTTCTGATAAAAAGAAACTCAAACTATTTTCAACATACTGGATAGAGTCATTACTTGTAAGATTCCTTGTGAGGGTCTTGTATATATATGAGCTCTCATTCTAACGGGACTTTAATATTTGAAGGCCAAGGTCAAGTTGTGCACCTTTCAGTTTATGGAATATTTTCTTTGGCACCATTGACATAGCAAGACACGAGAGTCACTATACCTGCCCTTAAGGAATTAGGGAAGGACCAAAAGACAGAATAGTAAATGTTAAACTGTGTAGTCCAGGAAATACAGCAGCAAAAAGGCAGAGCTTGAGCGCCAGACACTTTTTTTTTTTTTTTTT